CTTCAACGGTCAACGCTCCTCCAATCAAAGTTTTTTCTGCTTCTGAAAGGACTTGTAAATTGAACAGTAATTCTTTCAGATCTTTTTTTCCCCACTGCAGCAGGGTGGTCTTAGCGGAGCCCTCTTTTAATGTTCTTTTCAATTTTATAGCGGTTATAAAGAACAGTTTGTTGATTTGCATCAACGGACGTCTTTCCTGACCTCCACAAATCGGTGACCTGAGGAACGCCGCACCTCTGAAGCCCTTACCCAACTGCGCCAAGCTCATCAACCGCTTCCAGTCGTCATGGCGCAGTCTGGTGAACCCGCCACTCCGCCACTGGTGGGCTTTCAGCTTTCTACCTTCGACTGCCTCAATTCTCGCCAGCGGACCCTCATATCTGGTTCGCCCAGGTGGAGAGCCAGTTCGTCAGGGCCCGGATAACAGCACAAACCCAGAAGTTCCTCCAAGTTCTTGCAACGCTTCCGCCGAACATCGCAGCGGAAATTCGGGATCTGGTCCCGACACCCCCGGCACACTCCTCTTACGACACCGTAGGCCGCAAACAAATCCGCCATTGTGACGTATGGTGAACAAGCTCTCAGCCTCAACATCGGGTTGAGAAGACCACTAAGATGAATTTTCCTGGTTGCCGACTTGACGGACCCGACCCTTGGAGCAGATTTTCTTCACAACTATAACCTGCTAGTGGACATGCAACGGTTACGCTTGTAGAATCCATGACTCACATAGCTGTCCAAGGCATAGCATCCATCTCGCCGCTCCCACAACGTTGCATTACAACCACTACAAAGTTTGAAGACCTACTCCAACGCTTCCCGTTGCTCACACATCCGGCCAACGTTGTGCAACCGGTAAAGCATGACGTGCCACATCACATCGTGACGTCCGGGCCTCCCACTCATGCTCGTCCACGACGCCTCTTGGACGAACGGTTGAAGATAGCGAAAGCCGAGTTCGAGCACATCCTTGAACTCGGCATCATCAGACCATCATCCAGTCCATGGGCATCTCCCCCTCATATGCTGCAAAACAAACCCCCTGGTGATTGGCGGCCCTGCGGCGACTATCGGGCACTGAACAACTCAACCGTTCGAGACCGCTATCCCCTACCATACATCGCGGATTTCTCGGCGTTTCTGGAGGGAGCAACCATCTTTTCAAAAATTTACCTGGTGAAAGCGTACCATCAGATCCCCGTGAAACCAAGTGACATATCGAAAACAGCCATCACAAGACCTTTTGAACTTTTGGAGTATGCGAGGATGCCTTTCAGCCTTCGTAAGGCGGCCCAGACATTTCAACGGTTTGCCGACAGCGTGACCCTTGGACTTACCATTTGTTTTGCCTATATCGACGACATCCTGGTGTCCAGCGCTAACGCCGAGCAACATCTCGAACACTTTGAGATCCTTTTCCAGCGCATGGCGGAATACGGGCTCATCATCAACAAGGCCAAGTGCGAGTTCGGCGTTTCACAACTCGATTTTCTTGGCCACAAGGTCGACTCCAAGGGTGTTCGCCCTCTCCCATCCAAAGTCAACGCAATCAAGGACTTTCCAACGCCTACATCACGCAGGAGGCTTTGCGAGTTCCTTGGCCTCGTGAATTTCTATCGCCGTTTTATGCCGCATTACGCCACTGTCCTCCAACCCCCTACTGATTTCCTAAAGGGAACTCAGCGCGGCACCACACATCTACCATGGTTTCCAGAGGCAGCGGAGGCATTCCTAACCATCAAGTCATCGCTCGCAGGAGCCGCAATGTTGGCGCCCCCGCCTCGCTGGTGCATCTCACTCCATCATGACGGATGCCTCGGACGTCGCTCAAGGAGGAGTACTGCAACAGTTCGCTGATGGAAACTGGCAGCCCCTTGAGTTCTTTTCCAAGAAGTTGGCGCCAGTCGAGTTCCGTTACAACACTTTTGGACGAGAACTACAAGGCATATACCTCACCATCAAACATTTTCGGCACTATTTAGAGGGTCGGGAATTTCACAACTTTACCGACCATAAGCCGATAACTTACGCAGTTCAAACGACCAGCAACCGTCTCTCTTTTTGAAAGAGCCGGCACCTTCCATTTATCGCGCAGTTCGGTAGTGATATCCGCCACATCAGAGGCACAGACAACTCGGCTGCTGATGCGTCGTCACGGATACCTTACTGCAGCGCCATTGCCAGCGCTGTGAATTTCGCCGCTCTAGCAGCAGCACAGCAAGGCGACCAAGATATCCCGAAGCTACGATCCGCATCTAGCAACCTTGATCTTTGTGATGTGTTACTGCCAGGCTGCGACACAACAATAATTTCTGACATGTCCACGGGATCACCCCGACCGGTGATACCGCCAACCTTTCGGCAATCCATTTTCAATTCACTGCACAACCTTTCTAATGCCGGCATTCGGGCGACCCAACACCTCATCGCCTAATGCTTCGTTTAGCAAGGGAAGAACAATGATGTGCGTAAATGGGCTCGCACGTGCCTGCATTTTCAGCTGTCTTAAAGATTCATCAACATACTTTTGCACCTTTCACCACAATACAGACACCCACCGCTCGCTTTGACAACATCCACGTGGACATCGTCAGTCCTTTGCCACCATTCGACGGAGCCATTTACATGCTCAATTGCATATATAGATTTACCCGCTGGCCAGAAGTTTTCCCTATCGCAGACATCTGCGCGAAAACCATTGCGAAGACAGTCGTCAGTGGTTGGATTTCACGATTTGGCGTTCCGTTATCTATTTCCACCGACAGAGGCGCACAATTCGAATCTTGTTTGGTTAACGAGATCATGACTCTTATCGGGTCCTCCCGAATTCGAACACCAGCGTACAATCCCGCTGCTAACGGCCTGGTGGAAAATTTTCATCGTACCCTAAAGGCCGCACTCAGAGCACACAACGACCCGAACAACTGGAGCACACTTCTTCGCATTGTGCTTCTAGGCCTCCGCACAACACTCACGCCAGAGTTGGGATGCACTGCCGCAGACGTAATCTACGGGCAGTCACTTCGCCTCCCAGGAGAAATGTTCGTGACGTCTCCTACTTCCAGCGTGCCCGATCCTTTCAGCTATGCCACCCAGCTTCGAAAAGTTATGCGGAACCTGCGTGCCACACCAAGGCATCACGACCGTCATCCGACGTACGTATGCGACGAGTTAACCTCGGCCACACATGGTTTCTTGCGTCGAGACGCAGTCAGGAAACCTCTTCAACAACCTTAAGATGGCCCTTTCAAGGTCCTCAAAGGCGCGACAAGTACTTCGTTCTGAATTTGAACGGGCGGCATGACACCATCTGCGTCGACCGCCTCAAGCCTGCTCACATTGAACCGTCGTCCGTATCCAGCCTACACCCTCAACATTGGCCCCCTTCATGCCAGCCATCGGCACCATCCTTACGAGCCACCGAGCGTCAGCATCATCGCTCCGTCTCTTGGGCACAACATCGCCCTAACGATTGCTTTACCGCTCATTCACACTGAAAGCGGATCCGCGTTCGCAAAGCGGTTGCGAGCGCGGTTGTATAAAAATCCAGTGCAATTGCAAGCGCACTCGATGACATCAAGTGCGCGCGCAATTGCACTAGATCTTTATACAACCGCATTCGCAGCCGCTTTGCGAACGCGGATCCGCTTTCAGTTTGAAGGAGCGGTTAGGGGGGAGCTAGGGTGCCTTCATGTGCGCTTTGCTTAGGGTGGTGGCATCTCGCCATTTTGTCTCAAACTTTTATTTTACTTTGTTGTTCAGAAGCGCGTGAAAGAGCGTGTGCCTGCGCGCGTTTGTGGCGCTGACTGTGCTATGGCGACATTCTGTTTTCGTCGATTTCTTTGTATTTTTCTCGTGAGCGCGTGCTGTCGGCATCGACTACTACAAAGGGTGGCATCACCCTAAACCGAAGGACATTGAGGCACCCTAGGGGGAGCCCTTGTAGCGCCAAAGCGCGAGACTTAGAGAGGTGGCACACGCAGTCTCAGGAGCTATTGACGTTTTAAGCACGCGGCACGAGCAGCACCGACGGGATCGAGCTCCGAGCTCGAACAGAAGAGCACGAGCCTGGTAGCGTTCGAAGGTGCAGCAGGGTGGTTTCAGCCAAGGCATCGCGACCTCAGCCTCCTTTTTATGTTTTTTAAAGTTTTATCGCGGTTATAAGGATCACTTTATTTGCATCGACGGACGTCTTTTGTTACCCCCGCAATGTTAATTTCCTCCGTGTAAGTCCTAGGGCTAAAATATTCAAGTTCGTTTAAGGTTGCCAGGATGTTGAATGATTTTCGTCGATCATTCTACCGTTCAAACTCCACGATACTCGAATATTCAAGTTCGTATAAGGTTTCCAGGATGTTGAATAATTTTCGTCGATCCTTCTTGCGTTCCAACTCCAGGATACTCAAATATACAATGGTTCCAGTTCCTGACGTTCCGTTTAAACATATCCTACTTTAAAAATACGGTAAGTGTGGGGAGGTGCAAAACAGATGACAACACACAAGAAATTCGTTCAGTGAACCCCTTTTCGTAAAGGAGAGTTACATTAGGTTTCCACCAACCCCATTCGGGACGAAAGGATGATCGTTTTTCCCCCGGTGCAAATTCGTACCAGGCAGTGATCAGAAAAGAATATTGGTTAAACAGTATAGCTCCTATGGCTTGGGACGCCACATTTAAAGCAGTGCAGAATGAGAATTAGAAATACTCTATATATCTTTGTGAGCACATGGGGCAACTCAAACAAATTGTACAAGATAATACCAACAAAGCAATACTTTATTGATAAATTGTATCTTTCCAACTATAAACACGGGTACTCCTGCTTCTTCAAGTGTTTATGCCACTTTTTAGATGAAGTGAGCATGCTCTTGGTAAATGTTTTGTTTTATTATCAAGGAATACGCAAAATAGTGACGTTTCAAGATCTTTTAGCACCTCATGTTGTTTACACGAAAGAGGACATGACACCGGGGAGAGCTTCCCCTAAAAAGCCAGTTCTAATCTGAGCCTTCATCATCGTAATCGTAAGAAGAATTGTTTGGAGTGGTCGTTGTCGTTTCGGGTATAGGCAAGGTCGGTAGCGGAGGCATATCAGTTCTGTAATACCCACACTTGCTTCTGAAACATATCTGAAAATAAAACGAGGTTTCGAATTAGTAAATCAGCACGAGCTTTGTTTTTGAAAGCAGCGCAATGCCCGCTCATTAAAATTAGAAGAATGCAAAAGTCAATCTTTGTGAATAATAGATTATCGCTAAGCTTAAAAAAACGTCCGAAATGTCGAGGGAAACTACTTGAACAGTTTTTTCGTTATTTGAGCATTTTGTTGTTTTAACATTTCATCATTATAGCATCATACCGTTGTTCAGCGTGGAGTATTTTTCCGTTATAGGCTAAACTAATAGCCTAACGTTTGCAGGTTAGGCTAAAAAAATATGCGCTCTTTCTCAAATACTCGTCGCCGGAGAACATCGCAGTGCATTTGACGGACAGTGGATGCGCCCTGTTGTATGCGAACATCGTGATCATGAGGCGGTTTCATAAGAAAACACGTGAAATATTGAAAGGTTAGGTCATCAAAGCGCCTTCAGTGACCTTGTGTCACGAAACGCGCGCGCCCATGCAGTGCCGGAAACGGCCGTCAAATTCTCTGGAAGGGAGGGAGACCCCGCACCAAGGTCGTTCGCGCAACCAGATCTTTCTAGAAGCAGGGAGAAGGGAGAAGCGGAGCCCCCCCTTTCCAATAACCGCCAGGAACATCCTCGAATGTCTCGCGACGCCGACGCAACACAACAACACCACCGCGCCGTCTTCACCCTCACCTTCGACAAAGGAGAGAGTGTACCCCCGCTGAACTGCGTAAGTACGGACTTGCATGAAGGAGGATAACGCGCCAATACTATAAAAACGAGCCGTGGCTGCGTATGAGCAGCTCGAGGTTTGGACTGTCGCTAATTGCGAGTCGGAAGAAAGCGACTGCACCTCAGCTCATGGAAGTCTGCGAGACGTTTGGCGTCTGCAAGAGTGATTGTCACTGCCGCCGCTGGGCGAACGGACTGCAGTGCCCGGGCACCCAAGTGTTAAGAAGCCTCCGAGTCAAGCCCACAAGCCCTGCGAGACCTTCGTCGTCTGCGAGGGATCGTCGTTGCAACTACTGTACGGACTGACCGCCGTGTCCGGTGAACTCTTTCCGTATTCCTTTGATCCGTTTCCGAACCCCTTCGTAGTAATTGTGTAAAGTCTCGCTCGAAAATCGAGGCGCTTGTCGAGATGTTCTCTCGCGTCGGAGTTCCGAAGGAGTTGCTCAGTGACCGAGGCAGCAACTTCACCTCAGACCTCATGAAGGAAGTGGCTCGACTGCTCTCCGTCCGCCAGCTCCACACCACCCCTTACCACCCCATGGCTAACGGTCTGGTGGATAAATTTAACGGCACCCTCAAGCTGATGCTGAAGCGCATGTGTGCTGAGAGACCCCGAGACTGGGACCGCTACCTGGCCCCATTGCTTTTCGCTTACCGGGAGGTGCCCCAGACCAGCCTTGGGTTCTCGCCTTTCGAACTTTTGTACGGGCGCCATGTTAGGGGACCGCTTTTTTTCCTAAAAGAAGTGTGGACCAACCTCGACCTCGAAGAAGAGGCAAAGACGACGTACCAGCATGTCTTCGACCTCAGAAACCGACTGGAAGAAACCTGTCGACTGGCCCACCAAGAACTGGAGAAGGCGGGTGCCCGTTATGCAAAAATTTACAATCGAAAGGCGAAGGACCGCCAATTCCAGCCCGGCGACAAAGTCCTGATTCTCCTCCCAACCGATAACAACAAGCTACTTCTGCAGTGGAAGGGGCCCTTCGAGGTCGAGGCAAGGAAGGGGGACGTCGACTACTCGGTTGACACCCCCGGGGGACTCAAAGTCTTTCATGCGAACTTGCTAAAACGGTACGAGGAAAGGAAACGTGAGAGCCCGGAAAAGCAGTGCCAAGCGATCTGCGGAGTGTCCGACTGGAACGAGGAAAATGATATTCCGGTGCCGGAGTTCGTGAAAACCGAAGGGACCGAAGACGTAAAGCTAAACCCAAGGTTAACGACGGAGCAGACATCGGGAATCCAGGAAGCAATGGCCACTTACCACAAGATCTTCTCCAACGTGCCCGGCAAAACAAACTGGGTCGAGTGCCACCTCGAACTCACCACCGACACCCCAGTTCATGTCAAGCAGTATCCGCTACCATTCGCCACGCGGGAAAATGTCGAGAAAGAAGTGGACGAAATGCGGACACTAGGAATTATTGAAGAGGCTCACTCGCCGTACAACTCGCCCGTCCTTATTGTGCGAAGGCGGACCAAACGAACCGATTGGTTGTTGACTTCAGGAAACTGAACAGCATTCTGGTGGGTGATTCGGAACCCATGCCCCGGGCCAACACCGTGTTCGCGAACGTGGGAGAAGCGAAATACTTCTCGGAGGTTGACTTCGTGAAGGGATACGCAAATACCTCTCTCAATGGAGTCTAAGCCTAAGACGGCGTTTTCAACCACGACCGGACTCTACCAGTTTCGTTACATGCCTTTTGGCATCAAGACAGCGCCAGCCGTCTTCGCCAAACTCATGCGGCGAATTACTGAGGGCATCCCGGACGTCCATCATTACTACGACGACGTCCTTGTGGCCAGCAGGACATGGGAAGAGCACCTTGCCTCCTTGCGCCAGCTGTTCGCCCGGATTGAGGCAGCCGGACTGACGATACGACCGAGCAAATGCGAATTCGGCGCAGAAAGGATCGACTTCCTGGGGCATCGAATAGGGGACGGTAAGCTAGCACCGCTGGGAAAAACACTGGACAAAATCCAGGACGCACCGGCACCAAAGACCAAGCGCCAGGTGCGCGCCTTTCTCGGACTGACGGGCTACTACCGGGATTTCATCCCGCACTATGCCGACATCAGTGAGCCGCTCACCCAGCTAACCAAAAAGAAAGAAGGTAACAACGTTAAGTGGACCCCAGTCCACGAAAAGGCTTTCCAAGAACTTAAACAACGGATTGCCAGTCCTCTGGTTCTGCGTCTCCCGGATCTCTCGAAGACATTTATTCTGCGCACCGACGCGTCGGACACCGGCCTCGGTGCTGTGCTAATGCAAACACACCAGGGCACGCTACACCCGATAGCATATGCTAGCCGAAAACTACTGCCCAGAGAAACGGCGTATAGTACCATCGAGAAAGAATGCTTAGCCTTAGTTTGGGGCATCCAAAAGTTCAACGCCTTCTTGTACGGCGTACCCTTCATCGTGCAAACTGATCACCAGCCTCTTAGCTACCTTCAACGAGCGAAACAGCTGAACAGTCGCGTCCTGCGCTGGAGCCTACTGCTAGAAGAATATGAGTTCAGGGTAGAACACATCAAAGGTAGCAACAATGTTGGCGCCGATTACCTTAGCCGCCTATAAATGTGTTGAGATAAAAAAAAGGTGTTTTCTGTGCCGTCGCGAATTGTATCTGTTGTATTTTAAGATTGTGCCAAGTGCACATTAACTATTGTATAAGAATTTTTTTTTCCGGAAACCCTTTTGTGAGCGCCTGCGTGTGCGCACGATTTTGCGTGTGTTTTTGAATATTGTTCCACAATATTCTAAAATCAGGGGGCCGTGTCACAAAACGCGCGCGCCCATGCAGTGCCGGAAACGGCCGTCGAATTCTCTGGAAGGGAGGGAGACCCCGCACCAAGGGCGTTCGCGCAACCAGATCTTTCTAGAAGCAGGGAGAAGGGAGAAGCGGAGCCCCCCCTTTCCAATAACCGTCAGGAACATTCTCGAATGTCTCGCGACGCCGACGCAACACAACACCGTCACCGCGCCGTCTTCCCCCTCACCTTCGACAAAGGAGAGAGTGTACCCCCGGTGAACTGCGTTAGTACGGACTTGCATGGTGGAGGATAACGCGCCAATACTATAAAAACGAGCCGTGGCTTCGTGTGAGCAGCTCGAGGGTTGGACTGTCGCTAATTGTTAGTCGGAGGAAAGCGACTGCACCTCAGCCCACGGAAGTCTGCGAGACGTTTGGCGTCTGGAAGAGGGATCGTCGCTGCCGCCGCTGGGCGAACGGACTGCAGTGCCCGGGGACCCAAGTGTTAAGAAGCCTCTGAGTCAAGCCCACAAGCCCTGCGAGACCTTCGTCGTCTGCGAGGGATCGTCGCTGCAACTACTGGACGGACTGACCGCCGTGCCCGGTGAACTCTTTTCGTATTCCTTTGATCCGTTTCCGAACCCCTTCGTAGTAATTGTGTAAAGTCTCGCTCGAAAATTGTAACTCTCTCTCTGTGTATCTGTATTAGATGTGAGCTAAGATTGTAACCTCGTATCCGCCTTTATCTTGTTTATAAACTGTTGTTACGTTCATTGCATCCTTTCGGTCTCTGTCTCATTCTCTGCCTTGCGACCGGCGAAAGCTGGGCACCAAAACGACCCCCCCCCCCCCCCCTTTTTTGTCACGTTGCGCTCCGTGCGGTGTTCCTGCGGAAGCTGCCGCGTTCCGTCGGGCATTCCTTCCGCGAATAAACGGAACTAACCAAGCCGCACTCCGGTGCGCAGGGCACAGCGCATACCCCATAACAAGCGTGACACCTTGTCATCGAGGGAATTTCAGTACCTGAAATTTTTGCTGATTTTTTGTGTCCACAATTAGCGTTTTTTTTTTTTTTTTGCCCATTCTAGTATGAGATATTTATAATGTTTTATGAAGTACTATATTGAACAAATTAAAAGAATATGCTGCTGCAACATTTGCAACGATATTCCTTTGATTTATTATTTTTGTTCTCGTGTTTTTGTTTTGTTTTTTCCTTTTTTTTTATTAAAACGTCGACGAAGAATAGAGATTCTGTCCAGATTTCTACCCGTCCATTCTTTGCCTTTCACGCTTACGACATTTGGAGCAAAAACTTTATAAACTTGTTTTTCGTTTTTGATAAACATCAACTTGACTCAGTAAGTACCTGTACTCAAGGAAAGATATAAGAACAGAAAAGGAAGACAGAGAGGTTAACTGGAATCTTTCTTCCGTTTCACTACACTGTGCAAGGAGAGATGAATGGGGACATTAAAGTGGGGATTGAAAAAGGAGGAAAAAATGAAA